ATCAAACAGAAATCATGACAGCAGGTCTGCAATACTAAGGGGTCCTCTGATGATACTTCAGTTGTTTCTGAGGCCGAAACTATTTGCAATACATAAAAAAAGCTCTTTTGGAAAATGTGAAATGAATTAACAGGCCTTATTTTGAGGTTAAAGCTGGACAGTTGATGCTGCTGCAGGAAGGTTTCATGAATGGTGTATCGATGCATTGATGCACTGTCTGCGTCCGTCTGTCCGTCTTTAATCTTCCATATCGGGGGCGCCATCGTTGTTCCTGCGTAGAGCTGATCAGAACGAACCAGCTGCTGTGATAGTTTCTCTCGTTTCAAACAGGAAGGATGGAAGTGGTTGTGTGGCGTGGCTTTGTGCGCAGCTCCTTGTTTCTGAGGGTGACAGCTAAACAGAAGCTCTCCCTCCAAACAATCGGCCGTTCTGTAAGAAGAGGCGTGGGCCCGGCCCAAACCACAGAGATGGCTCTGCTTTGACAGCTGCTTTCATCTGCTTATTATTCCTCCTTCACACTCAAGGATTTTTGGGTCCCCCTCCCCCCCCCACTCAGCTGTGATTGGCTGTTGTGACAGACTTGTCGCCGGGTTGTCAGCTTCTTCTGAAGCTCACTTTAATTACTCCTTTTCACCAACGTTCGTGCACAGATGCATGCAAACTTGTGCAGACATTGTGAAGTCAGTGGCAGACAGGCCTGCTGACACACTGACAGAGAGAATGAACCGCCTCCCTCAGCAGACCCCCAGATGTCTGTCAGCCAGTCCAGCTGATTTCAGGCCTGCGAGGCCCGATGAGCCGCGGTCCATGCGGCACCCTGCTGTGCCGAGCTCTGAAGGGCCAATTAGAGGAGGAGAAATGGAGCAGAGGATGGAGGAGGGAGGTTCTGCCCATGGAAGGAGATCCAGTCTGTAAAGGTTTCAGATTCTCTGGATCCAGACCTTCAATGACTGAGGAAAGCTCTAGAGGCATGGATTCACTAGAGACTGGATCCATCTGAGGGTTTCCTGAACTCCTCCTCTCCTCCCTCCTTTCCTCTCCTCCTATCCTCCCCCTTCTCCTCTCCTTCATATCCTTTCTGTCGTTCCGTGCTCCTCCGGTCCCGTCTTTAGTTTTTGGCCTTACTGTCATACTGTTGGTCTGCCATTATTCATCCCTTTACCGATCCTCTCTCTTTCCCTCCAGGCACGCTGCCCTACGACATTAAAATCGTGATTGCTGGAAACCACGAGCTGACCTTCGATCAGGAGTTCATGGCAGATCTCATCAAGCAGGACTTCTACTACTTCCCCTCAGCCTCTAAGCTGAAGCCTGAGAATTATGAGAACGTCCAGTCGCTGCTCACCAACTGCATCTACCTGCAGGACTCGGAGGTCACGGTGCGAGGCTTCAGGATCTACGGCTCTCCATGGTGAGTGACGGCCGCTCTGCTCAGGAGCAAACGGATCTTCTCTCAGAGGAAACCTTCTCTCTTTAGAAGCTCATTTCATCTCTGTTAGCATCCTCCCTGAATCTCAGACAACATAAAGCAAACATTTAGCCCACATGATCTAGAGCTGAGGTAACGGATTAGCCAGCAGGTGGGTCTGTATTCGGCAGAAAGGAGCTGAGCCTCTGATTGCGCAATCCATCCCAAACTGAGTCGATACAGGCAATTGGCCCTTTCCTGTTGCCGTATCGCTGCATATGGCCAATATACTGTTTGCATATACGCTTATATACCCTGATGTTCCACAGTGTGGATGTTGTCTTTAACCATAAAACGTTTAATATTTATTAATGACATACTTTAGTTCTGCTGATGGGACATAAAACCAATTATAGAGCTGATTTAAAAGAATTTTAAAAAAGTGGACTTTCCATCCGAGGAGGCTGTGATTAAAAACAGAAGACCAACTCCGCAGCTAAAAGGTTCAGACTATGCAGACGGTGAGGAATGGATGCAGCTGGACAGCTTCTCAGCTTTTTGGCCCAGAAGGATCTGCTACAGACTGTTCCTGAGGACAAAGTTCCTCCAAATGCTGCTCACAGCGTCCGTAGAAAGGTCATTCTCTACGTGGAAAAGACTGAAAACAATCAGAATAACGACGAGTTTCCTGCCTGCTCATCACCTCCATTTAGGTAGAGAGACGTTAAAACTAAAGGAGAATAAGGACTTAAAAAAGAAAATAAATGAGGTTCTTGTGGCAAAGGACTTCATCTACAAATAAAGGTCAGACCAAAAACAGCACAATTTGACACTGAAAACAGTTTAAAAACAAAGTTTTCCTCCCTTAGCGCTGCGCTGACTGCTTCATATTTAACCAAAGAAAAACTGGTGGGAATGAAAGTCCAGGATGAAAAACCACTTTCTATCAGTAATGATGCTAAATATTCCTCTTTAAAAGAACAACAGACTTCTTTTTATTTCAGGTGATTGTTATTAGCAGAAGCTGTTTTGGGAGAGATAGATAGATGTCGTTAACGGGGAAAGTTACAATAGCTTACGGTATATAATAAAGAAAGAAATGCTTCACTAGCGTCTGAAACGGATTTTATTTTATAGCAAAGCTGTTTTTAAACAGAACAGCCGGACTTTATTCAGTTTGATTTTAAGATCAAATATTTTCAGGCCAAATGTCTCTTTCTTTCCCACTTTTATTTTTAGGTTAAAATGTTTCAGGTTAAAATGTTTCAGATTAAAAATTTTCAGGTTAAAATGTTTCAGGTTAAAATGTTTCAGGTTAAAATGTTTTAGGTTAAAATATTACAAATTAAGATGTTTCAGAATAAAATGTTTTAGGTTAAAATGTTTCAGATTAAAATGTTTCAGATTAAAATGCTTCAGGTTAAAATGTTTCAGGTTAAAATGTTTCAAGTTAAAATGTTTCAGATTAAAATGTTTCAGATTAAAATGTTTCAGGTTAAAATGTTTTAGGTTCAAATGTTTTAGGTTCAAATGTTTTAGGTTAAAATGTTTCAGATTAAAATGTTTCAGATTAAAATGCTTCAGGTTAAAATGTTTTAGGTTAAAATGTTTCAGATTAAAATGTTTCAGATTAAAATGCTTCAGATTAAAATGCTTCAGGTTAAAATGTTTCAGATTAAAATGTTTCAGATTAAAATGCTTCAGGTTAAAATGCTTCAGGTTAAAATGTTT